CGGGACTCCCATGCCTATCCAACCCCCCCTGTTCCCCGTCCCCTGACTGCCCGCCCCCAGAACCTCCGCCCCATCCAACCGCCCCCTGCTCCTTGTCCCCTGACTGCCCCCTGGGACCTCCTGCCCCTTATCCAACCTGCTCCCCGCCCCCTTACCATCCTGCTCAGAGCACCAGGACTGGCAGCTGTAAGTAGTACAGCTGAGGCTGCGGGGGAGGAGCCGGGGGCTAGCCTCCCAGGCTAGGAGCTCAAGGGCCGGGCAGGAAAGTCCCGCAGGCCGTAGTTTGCCCATCTCTGCTCTAGGTCCTTAAAAGGAAGAGATAGGAGAAGAACGCAACTGGTGTAAACCAGCATAGCTCCTGACCCTACAAGTCTCTAGTTTAACATAGCCCCAGAGCAAATTACAGATACAGAGAAATCTGGGATTCTAGATCACTCTATTGCTTGTATACTTACCAGTGGCCAGATTGTTAACTGCTTATGGGACTTCAGGGGTCTGCTCGTGCCTATAACTGCTCTTCCTTGGGAGAAAGGGGTTCAAAATGTGGCTCTGAAAAAGTAACAAACAGGAAGGTTGGCACCTTGGCATGAATGAGGATTTCAGCACTATGTCTCCCTCGCTGAACCAGCTTGTAAGGCTTTAGATATCTTCATGCATAGATGAAGGCCCATGGGAAAGACTCACCTACCTACTTTCAAACATGGGCACAGTGATATTCTTTTCCGTATTCTGTTTGTAATAGAAAATGAGTCCATTCCCATCCCGCAGATCTTCTCCCGCGTGCATATTCCAAGATCCAAATGATAATCTGAATGGAAGAATAGAAGGAACTGAAAAAAGGACAATGTCTGTCCTAAACTTACTGGCTCCCCCTTCTCCACCGCAGCAAACACAAGCCATTTGTCTTCACTTTCTAGACCCTTAGCAACCTACCTCAGCTCTACCTATCATCTCTCAGACACTGCTGAGATATCCACTACCTGTCTCTGCTTTGCTAACGATGGCAGACTTGATTGCTCATTTGTCACATTTTCCAGCAAGCCTCTTCATGCTTTCTCCCATGTTGCCTCTTACGTAGGGGAGGAGCTCTGCCATAAACATACCATACCGTCCTCCTTCAAACTCACCTCTGCCCCGAGGCCTACAAAAAACGAGACAAAAGCAGCTGATTTTCTGTGACTGCTCCTTATCACGCTGTCCACAGTCATCTCAGTGTTGCCTTGTGCTTCCTTCCTGCGTGTTTGCTGTCTCCACCTGTCACTTGGCTTTCACTTAGATTGGAAATTCTTCAGGGCAAGGGCTGTGTTTTTGTTATGTGTTAGTACAGCGCTGAGCACAATGGGGGCAGGGCCTTTAAATAATAACAATAATAGTAAACCTATCATTGGGCCGGCTCCTGTCACCTTTTGACTTGCTGAATAGCACCTTACTCTCCAACTAGCTCCATAGAAATAAATGGCAGCTCTTGCAGAGTTGTACCTATCCCGTTGGTTTGCCACTCAGTCGTACATATGAGTAAATGGGACAATTCTATCCATCTATCTACCTATCTATCTATCCCATTAGTCTCATTTTCATACATACTATCAATAAATGGATTTCATAAGCTCTCAAATGACCCCCCCCTCCCCTCTGTCTTATGTTGTGGAGAATGCCTGTCATCTGATGCCACTTGAGACCGATCATCTGTCCATTCTGCCTCTGTCAGCAGCGCATTGGTCTCTCCAGTGTCTGAAGACATTTGGCTTCATTGCTATCACAGTCATTCAGAACTACATTGCCCTGAGAAAATATGACAGAGTTGTAAAAGTTAGCAATAGAAAAGGCTTATTAAATCGGCCAGTCTATCTTCCTGCCAATCGAGGATTCTTCCCTAGAGTGCATTTTCTAGGGTTTTATCCAGCCTAGTTTTAAAAACGCCTTGTCTTCTGCTTTCCTCGTGAGACTGTTCCACAGCCTAATTCATCTCACTCTCAGGAATGTTTGCTTGGTCTCGTCTTCAGTATCATTTCTCTGTCTTGAATGGTGATCACAGCTCCTCCCAATTCACTACCATCTGTGAATTTCATGAACATGCCATTAACTCCCCAGCCCAGATAATTCAAAGGCGCTGTTAATAAAACGACTCCTACCAGCAATGTCTGTGGGCCCAGACTGGACACCTTGCTCTGAATTCGATACATTGCTGTTTATCAGTACCTTCTGTCTGATGTCTTTTTGCCAGTTTCCAGTCCACATGACAGTGTCGTCAGCCATGCCAATGTGAAACGCGAGATGCAGTATCAAATCCTTTACTACAATATTTAACCTGCTGTAGATGCTTTGTCCACTCATTTAGTCTGTGAGACAAAGCAAATACATCTTTAAATGGGATTTTAAAGGTATCTATGGGACTTAGGCACCCAACTCTCTTTGAAAGTCAATAGGAGTTGGGCACCTAACTCTCCTTTTGAAAATTTCAATTTTAATATACACTGAATATTACTGGCCACAAGTTAATTCCTAGACTACGATGCTTTTTTCTAGTGCTGGAATCCATCACCCAGGTTGAGTGTCTTCTCCAAGCAGTACAGCATTAGACAATGAAGACTGAAACAACATGACATATGCATTGCAGCTCTGGTATTCCACATGCCTGTATCAAGATGGGTTTAGTTACCTATATCTGTCTATGTCGCTGCAAGACAATAGGTTGAACATCCATTAGTGGACACACAACGTTTTATGTGAATCAGAATATAGCATGTTAAGCTACCCCCAACCAGCACCCTATTTCTTGTTTTCCAGTGGATTAGAGTTTGTGAAAGAAGTCACACTGGTAACCCTGCAGCCTCAACTCTGTCCATTCACAGCCCAGACAGTGTCAGCTCAGGTGTCTCCCCAACTCATTGTTTCACAGTCATGACCTACAGGGATGGGATAGTAGGTCCAGTGGCAGATTAGCCACTGGGCCAACGGGGCCCATGCCCAGGGCCCCTGGAAAAATGGGTGCCCCTATGCCCTGATCTGCTGTGCCCACCTGCCCAGCACTCCTGCCGGGGAGTGGAGCAAGCCCCCTACGCCCTGACCTTGCTTCCTGGCAGGAGTGCCCGGTGGGCAGAGCAGGGCAAGTCCCTTCACTCCGACCCTGCTCCCCAGCAGGAGCACCGGGTCGGGGAAGCCCCCGCGCCCCAACCCCACTTCCCTGGATTTTCTAGGATGCCTCCATTTTTGGCTTTGGCTAGATTGTCAGAGGTGCTGAGCACCCATCACTGGAGTGGGAGGTGCTTGCACTTCTAAAAATCAGGACTCTAGGGCCCAGATCCTCAAATGATTTTAGGTGTTTAACCCCCATTGAAATGGATGATTAAATGGAATTTATAGGACCTAAACACCTTTGAGGATCTGGACCTGGAAGTCTCAAATTGGGCACCCACAAACCAGGGCACCGAAAATTAGTTTTGAAAATGTGACCTTAAATGTGCATGAACTGAACACCTGTTTTAACACTCTGAAAAGTGACAAATCGTGCCAATATAGTTGTAATTTTTCTGCTATGGACAGTTATCCTGGAAAGAAAATTTAGTGGCCAACAAAGAGTAACAACTTTGTGTCCCTGGAGGGATGAAGACAAGACACTGTTAAATGGAGATGTACTTTCCAGCTGTTTTATTTTTTAGTAAAAGCAGAATTAAATTTGAAATGAGAGAGAGAGATTCTCATTCACAATTGAAGATTGCGCCAATATCTTTACTTAGCAGATGTAAGATTATTAGAAAAGCCAAACAGGAGCTCATGTTTCTTTATCAGATTAATTCCACTTGCAACCTTCCTATTCACTATCAAGAATCATGTGTCATGTATATTTATTCATTCATTTCTTTCCCTGCTCCTCATTAATGCTACAGCCCTCCTCTGCTTGCAGAGTGGGAATAGATTCCATCTGTGTATCAGACGTCTCTCTTCGCTCTGGTCTCATAATTCACATTGTTCTAATTGACCTCATTTTATTCCCTC